GTGTGTGACTTGTAAAATTTGCTTATGAATGATGTGGTCACCTGTGAGAAATAGCACATTTTATGGTGGTTTTATGAGTCTTATTAATTATTTGACCAAGTAGATACTTAGCTTAAGGTTTTATACCTTCTGTGTATTTGCTAAATTAATGAATTAACAGAGTGACTGGAGGAACAGTTAAAGATATTTCAGAAAGATGGTGATCTAGAAAATACAAAGTAGGCTAACCAATGAGTCAACATGGTTAGGCTAGCCTACCCAGTCAGTGGATGGGACAAAATACATTTCTTTGAACGAAAATAATCCTCCTCTTAATAGTCATATGTTTTATCATAGGTGCACACACACTATAACTAGATGCTTTAACAACTTCTGTACATTTTCATTTCATTTCCAATAATTTTAGGGGGCTCTGGTGGCCTAATGGTAAGAATCCATGTTACAGTCCCAAAGACATGTAGTTCGAATCCACCAGCTGTTTCACGGGAGAAGAAGGCACAGACTCCTCCCCTGTGATTGTTTCTGAAAACCTTCTGGAGGGTCAGCCATGAGTCGGTTCTGACTGGTCTCCCACACAACAATATTAGTCTATAGGGAGTTGTGCTACTAACCAAAACCTTGAGCCTCTCTGGCAGTTCAATTAGGCCAGCAGCTCTGTGAAAGAGAGATGGACGTTTTCTCTAATTGGAGGGTCTGCTGTCTGACTCCGTGGCAATGAGTTAGTGAGACTTATAAACATTGTATTATTATTTTTCATGTTGGGTAGCTTTCTGTGGATGAATTCCAATAGTGATAATAATAGCAACCACATGCTACATTTCAATTATATTGAAGGTATGATGGTACTTAATTTATAGATATCTTCTGTGATTTTCATATGTCAGACAAAATTTACATTCTACTTCATCCATAGTTTAAACTTTTCTTAATTTACTCAGAATATACAGCTAAGAAATTAACGGAGGGAGATCTTCACCCAGATCTTGCTACAATCATTTTTTTGTCCCCTCCACTTGAGGAAGATTGCTGAGGAAGAGGCTCACACATGTTTAAGGCACTGGTATAAATTTGTCTCATGTATCTTGCACTCGAAGAGCTTCCAAAGACCATATATCCATACATTTGGGCTTTAAAAATGCATAATTTAATCAGAAGTAATGGAGACATTATCAGTCATTATGGCATCCATTACACATCACTATACAGTTATAATTTTCTTGTTCTGTCCTCGATACAATGCTTTCTCATCCCTCAGAAGCCCAGGCACAGCGATTCCATATGACCTCCAGCATTATCTTTCTGATAATCCAATCTAGCCATGTCCTTCCTACTTTAACACAGGCCTTTACATTAATGTCCCCTCTAGTGCAAAGAACATGTTCTCTAGCTGGATCGATCAAACCTTACTAGTTCCAAACCAGATGCCTTTAGCCACCTCCCTGCAAGCTGCTAGTCCTTAAACCATGTTGAGCTGCTAAAATTTTCAGGCCATCCCACTCCTTTGCTTTTGTACATTCCTTCTTTCTGTCTGAAATGCCAATAACAATCTCTTATTCATTTTCTTTATGACTCAGAGGACTTTTTTCCCCCCAGGTCCAGGAAGATAGAAAATATCTTTTTAAAATCATTGCATCTGTGAACCTGGTGTCTGGCACATAGTAGGTTTCTACAAATATTTATTCAACATGAATTCAAGATAAGGTATCTTGCCCTCTGGAAAATCTCCCTAATGTCCAGGAAAAATTTGTTCCCTCGTCACTGCTCCCATACGGCTTTAGATATACTATAATTGCTACATTGTTGCACAATGAAATTATTTGTTTCCATATCTTTCTCTGGGACCAGACTGAGCTAGCTCTTGGGTGGCAGGGACCAAATCTTACTCATACTTGGATCCTTAACATCCAGCACAAGGCCTGGTTTATGGTAAGCCTTCATAGCTTTCCTGGAACTGAAAATATAATTCTAAAGTAATCACGTAAGGTGAGCAGGCCGAATGTTATGCTTCTTATTTTACAAATGAAACCCAGGGAGGAAGAAAAAAAAATGTCTTGATTCAATTTCCATTTGAAATTGGAGGCCCACCCAGGGCTGGAACGCAGGTCTCTCAACCCCTAATTATTACAAAACATTGATATTGGCCCCTGAACAGAGGAGGTGAGTACCTTCCTTTTTGACTTATCACTACCTCAGTCAGTTCCTCAGGGGAAGCAAAAAGGCATGGTGTCATCCTGGAGCAGAGCTGCGTTAAGGATCACAGGCTTAGCAGTCTTGATGGTTGTGGTGAGGTGTTGTTGATCATTGCTCTTAGGTGCCTTCAAGTCAAGTACAATGGCTACTTTAAGAACAACAGATCTGAATCCAGTCCTATCCTGTGCCATCCTCATCATCTCTGACACACTTAAATCCATTGCTGCAGTCACCATGTCAATTCACCTAGTTATGAGTCTTGCACTTTTTCACTGACCCTCCACCTTTTAAAGCATGATGTCCCATTCCAAGAAAGAGCCTCTCCTAACAACATGCCCAAAGTATGAGAGATGAAGCTTTGCCAGCCTTGTCTCCAAAGGGCAATCTGGCCACACCTTTTCCATTATTCTATTACCTTTTCATTGTCTTGGCAGTCCAAGGGTCAGTCAGTACTCTTCTCTAAAACCACAACTCAAAGGGATCAATTCTTCAGCCACATGGAAACATGTGTCAGGCATTGAGTCTTAAGAAGGCTTGAGGAGAATAAGATATGACATAATATGCCAGTAGGCCTGAGGCTTGACTTTCTTTTCCAGCTCTGTGCTTCAGTCCATTCAGTGCCCTATCTCCCTCTCAAGTCAGTTTCTGGGGAACTCCTTATCACTACCATGACTCGGGTTGTCTCAGCAGACACAATTATAAATAGTGTCCTGTTCACTCAGAAGAATCCTAAAGTGAGTGATATAATGCTCATCATACTTACAGCTTCCACTTTCCCACTCCCTACAGAAAATATGCATACATGCATGTAAAAATCTCAGAGAGATTTAAAAATGTAGACTTCCCTTCTCAAGCTCTTTTTTTCTTCTTCAGGTTAGAATTTTTAGTCAGCCTGAGATCCAGCCCCAGTCTTCCTATGCAAATAAGTCAAGCGGAAATTTCTCAAGGAAGTTAAGAATGATTCAGGAGCGAAACTGTAATCCTTCCCTTATTCTCACTATTGAATGAATCTGTGGCTCACATGTGAAGGCTAAGGGAGAAGGCCCTGTGAGGTTGCACTTTCTGACTAGGAGGCAGAAGGGCCCCTCAAACGTTTGTCATTCGGCCACCTCTAGGGGCCTGCCTGGGAGATGAAGAATTAGATATTAAATTTAGTCTGACTCAAACTGGATGGGACGAATAAACACTAGTTAAAACACATTTTTTTTTTTTCTTAAGAAGGGAGGAGTATGTTGAAGAGAGATAACGAAACCAGGTCTTGAAACTCCAGGCAGCAATACTGATGCAAGCATATTCTTCAAAACCAGAAGAAACTAGTCGCTCAGTGTAACATCTAAGAAACGGTGGGTGTCTTAAAAGTTCAGATGATGTCAGTCTCACTGGTTAAAATACCTGAAGGAAGAACTAGTTAGGGAAGAAGCTGTGTAGGGGAAATGGGTCGAAATTGTGGCACTTGTGACTCTGGCCCAGCCACTTCCACTGGATCGCGCAGCGAGGACAGTCAGTGTCTGGGATGGTCCCCGAAACCGCCCCCTCCCCGCGACCGGTGGGTTCGCTCACAAAGCCTCCAGGGCCACGAGCTGCGGAGGGATACGGCACTTTGTTTACCTCGCCCAGGGCCCCGCCAGCGAGCGAGCGCAAAGTCAGCGCCCGACTCCCAGGCCAGGAGCTGCAGTTGCCGCTGCAGCCGCCGCGCCGCCTGCACGCTGCGGGGAGCCGCCCGGGGACTGGCAGCGGCGAGTCTGATTGATGGGCGCCGGACTCAATGAGGGGGGCCCTGGCTGGGGGGTGGGGCGGGGCTGTCTCTGGTCGGAGCCAACCCTGGGTGCCGGGGGAGGGTGGGGGTGGGGGTTCGGGGCGGGAGGCTCCGTGGAAATGTGTCGGTGACATTGAATGGGGAGACTCAGTGCGAGCGAGGCGGGCGCGCGCACACCCGCGCACACACAGCCCCGCTCACTCCGAGATCCCCGGCCACGTAAGTAACTATTAATACCGCCTCGCCGGGAGATGCGGGCTTGCTAAACAAGGGGATTGGCCTCCGGGATCCTTGGCCATCCTCTTTTAATTTTTTTAAACCCCCATTCCCTCCTTTACCTTTGAGGGAGAAAGAAAAAAAGAAGTAAAAGGTATCTTTTTTTTTTCCCCAAAAAAACAAATACCGCCAGGAAATTGGGATTGCGGATAGGAGGAGAAGTGGTAGCAAATTTCTCCCAAGGAGAGCCAGTTACACAGCGGAAAAGCGACGCCGAGAGTTGGCAAGATTGGAGGTGCATCACCTTAAAACGCCGGGAGGACCCCCCACCCCCCTGAAGCTCGTGCGGGGGAAATCAGAGACGACTGATCTGCCGCCGTCCCTGACTGCACTTCTTGCTTTATTCAGAGGACCTGGAGGAGAAGCGAGAGGAAAGCAAGTCAGGAGCATGAGCTTGTACTGACCCCTCCGCGCCGACGGGCCAAGCCCTGGGGTTTGTCGTGGTACCTGCGCCCGACCGGCTCCGCAACTCTGTCCCCAGCTTTTGCAATCTTTTGTTGGCAGCGCTGACCGCTCCAAGTTAAATGCTCGCTCGTAATTTTTTTTGTTTTGTTTTGTTTTGTTTAATTTTTGGAGAGCGCTTGCGATCTTGGAAAAGACTCAGACGCCATCTACAGTTAAAACGTAGGTAACGGCTCTCTCCTGCTCCCCCCTCCCCGCTTCCACGCCCCCCACCCTTGCCTCTCCACCAAAAAAGGGGGTGCTGCACGGATTTTGTCTGCGGTGCATTGCAAAACGGTAGATTCGTGCTTGTTTTCTCCATACCCCCCCTTTTTTGGTTGGGTGTCCAAGGCATTGAGATTGAGCCGCCACTGTGGACGCGGTGAAGACAGCACAAACTACAGTCAGGGCTCCTCCGCCCCGTCTGTGATTCGGAAGGCTGCGTGGGGATCGCTTAAGGAAAACCCAGCGCCGCAGCTCCCACCTTAGCAATTCGGTCACTCCTCTAGATCCACGCTGGGAAAACAAACAAACAAGACACGGAGAGAGAGAAAGAAACACTCCAAGTGCAGCGATTCTGCACATCGCCGGCTGCTTTGGAGTAACAAAAGGACCTGAGTTGCCTGCCAACTGAGTACTCCAGGTTCAGAACAGACTAGGTGCCCGGCAGTGCTCTTTTGGGGGCTCTGAACTACTTCTCCACGTAATCCTTTTCCCGTCCCTCCCCTCTCATCCTCCTTTTAAATCCCTGACACCGAGGCGCCTGCAGCCGCACTCGCCAGCGACTCGTCTCGCTAGTGGGTTGTTGGGGTTTTTTTTTGTTTGTTTGTCGTGTGTGATCCCCACACTCATGAACATACACAGGTCTACCCCCATCACAATAGCAAGATATGGGAGATCGCGGAACAAAACCCAGGATTTCGAGGAGTTGTCGTCTATAAGGTCCGCCGAGCCCAGTCAGAGTTTCAGCCCGAACCTCGGCTCCCCGAGCCCGCCTGAGACTCCCAACTTGTCGCATTGCGTTTCTTGCATCGGGAAATACTTATTGTTGGAACCTCTGGAGGGAGACCACGTTTTTCGTGCGGTGCATCTGCACAGTGGAGAGAAGCTGGTGTGCAAGGTAAAGAGCCTGGGGGTTGGGTTTTTATTTTGTTGTGGTTTCCCCCTCCCATTTGTTTATTTGTTTGTTTTACCTTTTTAAAAAACGCTCCTGGCTCTTAGCCTGGGGCTTAAGAGGGGGGGTGGGAAGGAGGGCGCAGAAGGTCACCGAGCTCTCCTGTCTGGGGGATGGTGGTTCGTGGGATAATTACCCGCGCCCTTGTGAAATGGACCTATTTCTTTTTATTTGTTCACGTTGGACTAGTTGCGAAGTTTTCAGACCGTTTCAGACAATGGGGCGGGCTGCGGCGGGGGCGTTTTGGGGAGAGCCCTGGGCGGGGGAGCGGCCAGACCGCGCCGAGGCCACGGCCACGCGTGCTCCCCAAAGCACGCTGAGATCCGCCGCGCGGTGCCGGCTTCCACCGCCAAAGGGATCTGTGCCTGGATCCAGCTCCCCTCCCTTTCCAACATGGAAGTAGGGAATCCCCCGCTAATTTTAAGTCTCTGATGACTTGGTTCCTTTAAAGGCCATTGTTCTTAGCAGCGTGCAGGTGTTAAACCTTTGTTCCAAAGGTGCCCTTTAAAGCACACACACAAAGGTATCCCCTCTGGCTGAGCCCTGGGGCCCGGCGCTGGGCAGGAGTTTACAAAGAGCTTTTTCCTGCCTGGAACCTTGAAAGGGAGGTTGGAGGGTAGAAATCAAAGCCGCCGACACACCTTTTTTGGATGTAGGAAACGGTGAATCCTTTGGGTCTTTTTTGTCTGTTTCCTTCTCTTCTCATACCTAGACTTCCTAGACGTCCCCCTCCCAACACACCTCCCCCGGTCCGCCTCAACACACACACCTTTGCCTGGAAGGTTTGGTGGCTAGCATTTAGAGACCCCCCCTGGGATTTCAGTACTGGGCTGGACACTTAAGTTGCGTGTTTTGTCTTTGACCCTGAGCAGTAACTGCTTCATGTATGTGTGAGGGTATTTGTGTGTCTTTGTGTGCACACGCACAGGGCTTCAGACAAGGAGATGTGAGGAGAGGAATAGTTGAAAAAGAAAAAAAAAACAAAACACACCACCCATATTATACTGCTATTTGGGAATTGGATACAAATCAAGAATATGAATTCATGGTCACTGAATATTCGATTTGCTCATTGTTGTTGTTTTTGTTTGTTTGGGTTTACTTGGGGTTTTGGGGGGCTTTGGGGGGATGGGTCCACATGCTGCCAATGGAAATGGACACTGCACAGTTGCCATACAAATACTGCATCACACTTTTAGCATTGCCTAGAGACTGTTTGGTAGACTTCTTTTTATCAGACTGCCTTGTGAACTCCCTTTATTTCATAGCCGACTGCAATGTTGTAAAAACGGAGTTTCTTGAATGTCTCAGGTCAGTTTTGAGATAGTTCATTTCAGACTGGGCGGGGGGTGGGGTATTGGAAAACTCTTTAAAAATACGGCACTTTGCTTTTGGTATTTTGCATCCTCTCCAAGTTCTTGAGATCCAGAACAATTGTGCCTGGTTAACCAAAATCCAGTAGGCTATTCAGAGCTGGATTGAATCCTCAGAAGTCCTGCAACATTGCACAATAGGATAGTCATCCTTTGAAATGAATGAATTCCACAGAGCTGCCACTCTAATATGAAATATGCATAATCACCCAGAAGTGTTTCACTCCTTTTGCTCAACTTAAGTATAGTATTTTCATAATTTTCAAATAACACAGGAATTTTTAAATGAAGGGATTTTGCAGCCAAATTCTACAGGAACATCTTGCTTTTATTTCTTTGTTTAAAAGCAGAGGTGACTCTGGCCTCTGCTCTTTCTTCCTGTAGACTCTTCAAGACATTTTATTTTTTCCTTTGGGCAGCCTTCATAAGCATCATTTGCACACTGTTCTCTGCACTTGATTTATTGGTTTTGTTGTTGCAAAGACTGAATCATCCCTTCAACAATTACAGGGTGGCTTCAAGTGGATTTAAGTGCAGTATCATTGTTCTGCCTAGCATAGGGCATCCCTTTAAGACATAGCAGCTTCTATTTTCCTGTCTCTTTAAAACCAGAGGTGATGGGGGTGACTTGTTATGCAAGCAGGGTTGCATATATCCTAGGAAGCTCCAAGTGAGTTTTATAAGACTGCTTCTATGGACACCCCTGAGATATTTACACTGTGGACTCTTGGCTTACTTCAAGGCTCAGTGAAATCTACACATTGAATCAAGTTCCTTTTGATGTCTCAAAAGAGTTCATGTCTTCCTTCTCTGTGTTGACTCAAGAAAAGTCTGCAAAAACAGATCCAATAATATATAGGTGTCTTTCAGTTATGGAGGTCTGCATAGAGAATTGTGACAGTCTTTGGACAGAGGGAGATTCCAGCATCATTTAAACAAAGTAATCAGGCCTATTTATTGTCTATATAGTCCGAGTGCTTCTATTAGCTACAGAGGTGAAGGTAGGGAGTTCTAAAGGGTCCTTAACTGTAATTTTCATGAAACTGCTGTTAGCTACTGTGCAACTTGACATAATTACTATCTTGGCAGATTGGACATTTCCCCCCTTCCTCAAATGTTATTAATGATGATCTAATCTTACTGCCTTATTTGAACTGTCATATTATATAACTAAGGCTCTGATTTACTCATTTAAAAGAAACTGGCATCTAGGCTTATGGCATGATTTTGCACTTGAAGGTGATGGTTTAAATACCAGTCCAACCCCATAAATGCCTGTTATAGCTACTAATAAAAGTTTGGCTCCTTCTCATTGGGGAAAACATAAATAGATGATTCTTGTTTGGGGTTCTTTTCTGGGGGGTTTGTTTTGTTTTGTTTTTTAATGCTCTGTCCACCATCTTGGAATTTGGTCTCTTTTATAGAGGGTATGGCTGCATTACGAGGCTGCCATGAAGAGATCTGATCATTGTTATTATTTTTACCTTCCACATCCATCTAGCATTTTCTGCCAGGGGCCAGGGTAGGAAGAGGGACAAAAAAAGTATTTCACTGAAAAAAAATGCAACTTGAAAACAGTACATACTGAAAAATTCCTAAATACTGTGGCTAGTAAAGACAGACTCTGTAGCATGGTGCTTCAGAATACATCATCCTCATTATATAATACCGAGTGTTTACATTAGCCACTGCAAAGCCTTTATTAGTCTCTGTGAAATTTCTGAGGCTTGCCTGGGCTTCTGTTGCCTGCAGTCTGGGTGTTAAAGTTGACTCAAGCATTTCAGGTTCCTAATTGAACAGGCCTCTGAGGTCACCACTCTGAGGTCATCCTTTGACAGTATCAGGGTGTGATTTGTGGTCTCTGGAGATGTTGAAGCATTCATTCTTAAATTCTAGGTTATAGTGGCAGCAGCTGTGCCGCTTTCCTGAGATGTCTCATTATAGTTCATTCACAACGTTCCTTTGCTTCCTCGCCCAGGGTTAGCACCAGACCTCCTGAGGTTCTTGCTTTCCCTGTTTGACTCACAGATTCTTATTTTCTTAGAACTCAGAGGAATTTGTGAATGCTTAAATGGGAGCTTGTGTCCCTGAATGAGCTTGTGGAGGCTAGCAAACCCCATTAAGATCAACCTAATATTTTGCACGCTTTTGAGAGTAAGTGTTATAAGAGGGGACAGTGTTTTCATCAGATTCTTCTGTGGGGCCTGAGCCCCAAATGGTTGAGATGTTCTCATTTCCTCTCTCTGAAGAGAAAGAGAGACTGAGTGCTTTGTCAAAACCCCTTCAGTTTCTTGGTGGTTGAGCCAAGATTAAAGACTCATATGCAGTGATTCCTAATTCAGCATTTTTCCCGCCACACTGCAAAATGACAATCAAGGCAAGTATGTTTTAACTAATGAACAACATTTTAAAGAAGTTAAATGAATGTGAACTGATAACGTTGAGTATACTGTTGTTGAGTATTATTCCTGGCCTGGATGCTTTATCACCAGGCGCCCCCACTTTTCCTGCCTCTTGTTCATACAGAAAGGAGACTTACCTTATCCACTGCCTCAGGCACATAATCCAAACCACGTTCCAGATCCAAGGATTTGTATTCCTGATTTAGTAGGGAGCTGGAAATGAATGGAAGCTTTTCCCTATAGCCTCAAAAATTTTTGATGGTGTTAATTCGAGAAAACTATTGATGATGCACTTTTTGTTTTTTCCTTTAAACTACCCCACAATGAGGCAGTGTTTCCCAGGCTAATTTTGATTCACACAATATCACTGATCTGTGGAAGGGAAAGAGAATATAAGTCATCTGCTTTCACATTAAGAAGACGGTGTCCCTGTTCCTCGCTCTGCCACTGGGTGGTTAGGTTTGACTTGAGTTCTCTGATTCTCAATTGCCACGTCTGTAGAATAACAGTATTGAATTGGGACCACTGTACATATTTGGTCTGTTAATCAAAAATATGTTACATAGTGCCTTTCGATATACATTTTCTATGTCTTTTTCAGAAATAAGTAAATTAGAGCTTGTCTTTGGTTTATGATAGGTCACATTCTCCCAGGTTTTATTTCATTCCTGCATTTATCAGCCTGAAATTAGACTAGGTATAATAACAATAATAGTAAAATAATAATAATAATAGAAGGCCCTCTATGAGGTGGATTGATTCAGTGACTGGGATAATTGGGATGGGAGTGTCAGAGACAGTGCGATTGGCACAGGACAGAGCGGAGTTTAGGGCTGTTGTACATAGGGTCACTATGAGTCGCAAGCGACTCGACGGCACATGACAACAACAACATTACATTTTTTGTTACATGCATGGATACTCAGACTCTGACCCAAACGTTTTTCTCTCCTGATTTAGATCCTAACATTTTCTAAGACATTTTTACCTTCCCTTTTGCCTATAGTACTTTCAATACTGAAAACCAGGTTATCATCTGCCCATTTTACCTGTGAAGACTTCTGGGTCCAAGAAAGCAAGTGACTTGTTCAGGGTCACATTGGTAGCCTATATTGTTATTATGTGCCAATGATTCAGGACCAGCTTTTTGCTGACCCTTTTGCGGGTTGCTAGAGACTCTAAATCTCATAGGAAGTGATTGCCCATCATTTTTCTGAGGAACAGCGGGTGGATTTGAACGTCATAAGAATAGATTGACAGCCCCACACTTTACCACTAGGTCTTTAAGGACCAATAATGATAAGAGTCCAAGTTAGACACTTTTGGACATCTTAGCAGTGCATGCTTGTGGTGTTAGAGCTCAGTGATTTGATTATGTAAGAAGTGTCTCTGACTCTTTGTTTTGTCAATCCTGTCCTAGGTGTTTGATATCAGCTGCTACCAGGAGTCTCTGGCCCCATGCTTTGCCTGTCAGCCCACAGCAACATCAACCAAATCACAGAAATTATCCTGGGGGAGACAAAGGCTTATGTATTCTTTGAGCGAAGCTATGGGGATATGCATTCCTTCGTCCGCACGTGCAAGAAGCTGAGGGAGGAGGAGGCGGCCAGACTGTTCTATCAGATCGCCTCAGCGGTGGCCCATTGCCATGATGGTGGCCTGGTGCTGCGGGATCTCAAGCTGCGGAAATTCATCTTCAAGGACGAAGAAAGGTAACTCTCTTTTCTGTTCTGAGCGGTGTACTATGATAGGTTGTTTATGGAAGCTTGTGTGAAAAGCTGGAATGGACATTTTTTCTATCTCTTGTCCATGTCTTCATTATCCAGTACAGTTACGATAGAAATACCACACAAGTGGGTGGTTTTTAACAAACAGACTTCTTTTCTCACCATTTAGGAGTTTGAAAGTCCAAATTCAGAGTGCTTGGCTGTACAGGAAGGCTTTTTTCTTGTCAGCTCTGGAGGAACGTCCTTTTCTTTGAAACCCACTCCCCCCCCACCCCCCCACCCCGCAGCTATCTTTACATAGCATGCCTTTTTCTCCTCCTTTCCTTGCTAGTTTTAATCTCCTTAAACATGATTGATTCAAGATTCTTCCTGCACTAATCTTGCCTCATTAATTTAAAGGCAGTCCATTTCCAAATGGAATAGCATCCACCAGAATGCCAAATCAAATGCATTTCCCACGAGTAAATTCCTTCTCAGAGCAACCCTCCATCTGGTTTTGAAAGCTGCACATATTTACAGAAGAAGACTGCTCATCTTTTGCTCATGGAGTGGTTGGTGGATTTGAACTGTCAACCTTTTGCCTAGCAGCCCTATATGTTCTGTCCTATGACACTAAGGTTTCTTGGAAGAGAAGCTACACTTCACAGTATATATTTTGAGTGGACATCATTCAATGCCTAACAATCCAAGTGAGAGATAGGAAACTTTGGAAACAGAAACTTAGAATATTTCAGTGTTTTATGTGCCCTTAGAAAACAGTTCACACTTTCTTTGTAGGTCTGATTAAATGCTTAAAGGTTATAGGTGCCAGGATGGCCTGTTACACAGTGAATGTATAGTCTCTGGTGCTGGGAAATCTTGAGTATTGCTACAAGTCTTTGTGACCTTATCACTGAGAATGAGGTAAGCTTTCAAAAGCTGTCTCTTCAGAACCAGTTGGTACATAGAATTAATTATTTATAATTCTTTTATTCACTATTTTAATAGAAATAGTAAGCCTTTATTTTATCTTGTCTTTACAATGACCATCAAGATGAATAACATCATCTGTTAACCTAAAAATAAAGACTTACAGGTTAAATAAAAGTATGCACTACTTCATTTGGAAAAGGAAAATTAAAATGCTTCAAGAGAGCTAAAATAAGACCTAAAGTTTATTATACTTGAATTTAGAGACAACCTAAGAATAAATTTGATGAACGGAATGCTAATGATCAAAGACTAGATGAATTGTGTGATGACTATATACACGAAGAAAGCAAAATAATAGATCATTAAAAAGATAAGAAAAGACCAAAATTAATGTCAAAAGACTTTGAAACTTGCTATTGAACACAGAGTAGCTAAAGCAAGTAGAAGAAATGAGAGAGAAAAGATTTGAACAGAAAGTTTCAAAGGGCAAAGTGAAGTATAATGAAATGTGCAAAGACCTGCAGTTGGAGAACCAAAATGGAAGAACCTTCTAGGCTTTTCTCAGACTGAAAAAGCTGCAGAAAAAGTTTATGCCTAAAATGGCAAAAGTGAAGGATTCTCTGTGCACATTTTTGAACAGCATGTAAGTCTCAAAAGAAGATGGAAGAATTACCGAGGGTCACTGTACCAAAAATAAGTGATCCATGTGCAACCATTTCAGTAGTAGCGTCTAATCAAAAGCTGGTGTCACTAAAGGAAGAAGGCCAAGCTGCACTGAAGGCATTGATGAAAAACAAGGGTCCAAAATGGGTAGAATACTGATTGAGATGTTTAAAAAAATGGATGTGAACTTGGAAATAAAGTGCATATTTGTGCCAAGAAATTTGGAAGACAGTTTCCTGGTCAGTTTATTGGAGGAGATCCATATTTGTACCCATTTGCAAAGAAAAGTACTCTTAATAGAATGGGGAAACTACCAAATAATATGAAGTAATGTTTAACAGAAGTTAATTCAAAGTTACAGCAATGTCTTGACAGAGAAGAGCTAGAAGTTCAAGCAGGATTCAGAAGAGCCTGTGGAATAAAGGATATCATTGCTGATGCCCCGTGTATCTTGGCTGAAAGCTGAAAATACCACAAGGATGTTTGTGTGATTTTTCTGATTATACAAAGGTATTAAACTGGGTATAAAATAACAGCTTATGGGTGACATTTTAAATAATGAGAATTCCAGAACACACAGTTGTGTGCATGTGGAACCTTTTCACCGACCAAGAGAAAGTCAAACAAAACAAAGGCATACTGCATGGTTTAAAAGCAAGAAGTAAGTGAATCAGGTTTATACTGTTTCACCAAACTTATTCAAACTAAACTAATAATCCAAGGAACTGAATTACAAGAAGAAGAATGTGGCATCAGGTTTTTAGGAAGATTAATTAGCAACCTTTCTTACTCAGATGACACAATCTTGAAAATGTAGAAGATTTGAATCAGTTTTTAATGAAGATCAGACTACAGCTTTCAGTATGGATTACATCTTGATATTAAAAAACCCAAAAAAATCTCTTCAAGCAGATCAGTAAACGAGGTCACAATAAGTGGAGAAAAGATTGAAGTTATCACAAAATTAATTTTATTTGGATCTACAATCAACTCCCAGGGAAACAGTAGTGACAAACTCAAAGGCTATATAATATTAGTCAGATCAACTCCATAATAACTCTTTAAGGTGTTAAAAAACTCAGATGTGCCTAGGCCACCAGAGCTCCCTTTTGAAGATCTAGTTGCATCTAATTGAAGCCATGGTATTTTCAATTGCTCCATTTACATTCAAAAGCTAGACAATGAAAAAGGAAGATCCAAGAAAAATTGCTGTTTGAATAATAGTATTGAAGAAGGAATATATAGGTCATAGAAGATGTATAGCCAGAGTGTTCCTTAGCAAAGAGGCATAGTGTGCTTGGCAAAGTGGAAAGTGCACAAAAAAGAGAATGACTTTGCAAGAGATAGGTCAGTGCAGTGGCTGCAACCATAGTGGTTTCCAACAATGGTGATTGTGAGGAGAATCCAAGAACGGTATCCTTCTTTCAGGATTTCTGAACTGGCTCAACTAACCCAGTGTAAATTTTGAGTGTGTATTTTTACGATAGACATGAAATTTCTCCATGAGGATCGATAAGTAGAATTGACTGGTTTTAAAAACCTAGTTCTGTTGTTGTAAGTGGGGCCTACTATATATGTTGGAATGGGTTCAGAGGTACCTAACAACAGCAGCTGAGTCCGGTAAGGAGTAGAGGTAGGGTTGAGGGGAGAAGTTCTGACTAGAATGTGAAGATTCAAGAAAGGTTTTGTAGGATAAATGAATTTGGAGCCAAAACATGTAAGACGAATTTGTGTCAGGCAGCGTGAGAAGGACAGGCATTTCAGGTGAGGAAACTGCCAAAGCAAATGTGTGGCATCGTCAAGGTCTTGGCTTTTTTTTTTGGGGGGGTCTTGGCTTTTTTAGGAGCCAGCCGGCAGGAACCTGGGCATCTGGGTTCCATTCACGGTTCTGTCATTAACTCATTACATTTTACTTAGCACATCCAGATGCTGCCCTGTTTTCTCTTCCAGCTGACTCTGATTGTAAAACTTTTAAGCCACTTTTTTTTTTTAAGAATGCGCTTTTGTTAGTGGAGTCAGTTCATTTATATTCTTTACTCACTGAATTCCAAGAACTTCTTAGAAGCATTTACATACGTGATGTCATGGAATTCTTTTGACAGCCCCCAGCATCTCGAGCCTCTACTAGAAGTCAGTAAAGTAGAGGGTCTATCTTCAAAAAGATTTAATGATCTGAGCTGGGACCATCAGATTACAAGGATAAAATATTTCATTTTAGGAGTCCTTGGGATTCCTGGTAGTATAGTGCTCAATGGACAGCTTGCTGATCAAAAGGTTAATGTTAAAACCCGCCATCCTCTCCTCAGACAAAAGACAGGCTTTCTCCTCCCATAAAGGTTTATAGCCGCAGAAGCCTAGTGCAGGGTTGCTGTGGGTAGGAAACAAAGCAACAGTAGTGGATTTTGTTGTTGGGTAATACAGTTAGACAGTTTAAGTGTACTCAGAGGTACCTAGAAAGTAGTGCCAGAGGCAATTTACATCCAAAAAGTCAGCCATGAAAACCACGGAGCACAATTATTGGCTCAGTGAGAACCAGTTTTGTTTGTCCCGTTTTTACACTTCCTTCAGTCACTTAGGAAACATTTCTTGAATTTGTTTAATATGTCTGGCAGAGATCTTGCTGTCAAACCTTACAGAAATTTAATGGTATCAACACAGAACGAACGAGGTGTCCTTTGATTTCCTGGCCTGTGGTTTGAGCTAATTGGAAAGTAAGAATTTGGGGATTAGCCAAGGAAAAAGACCTGTTGCATCTTAATCTAAGTGGAGTATCTTCAGCCATTTGTAATTCAAGTGAGTATACATAGTGTAGAGAGCCACTTGGGTATTTAGATCTGCAGAAATTGATTAGATTTCTTATTTTTACTCATAAAGTGGGATTTTAGGTATTCACGGCAGCTTCTCTCATGGCCTTTGACAGAGCATGCTTTTTACCTTTACTCCAGAACTGAGGAAAACAGAATTATTTTAAGATTTAGAGTGTAGAACTAGTCTGTTTTTCTCTTCTTCAGCTCAGATGCTTCTGCCTTGAGTTCTGAATCCTAGGTGCTTACCATGTGATTGTTGGGTGCCATTGAATAGGTTCCTACTTATGGTGCTCTTGTATACAACTGAAGGAAATCTGGTCCGGAGCCAGACACAGCCTTTGTTGTGTCTGTCCATCTCTTTGAAAATCTTTGGGTCTCACAGAAATTAACTTGCCTTCCACTGATTTTGCCTTAATATATTTTGCAATCTTGTGTAGCTCCTTTCTCTCCCTGGTCTGATTTTTCTCATTCCTTTATTGTGCTAATGCGAAACCTGTACTTGGATCAAGAGGCAGTAGTCAGAACAGAGCAGGGTAACACTGCATGGTTCAAAATTGGGAAGGGTGTACGCCAGGGATGCATCCTGTCTCCATACCTTTTCAA